AAAATTCTGGGCAAATCCGACGAAAGAATTGCATTATTCATCAACCCTTAGTTTTAGTATATTACGAGTAGGTTTTTAATTCTATTGGAGCAGAACAAACTTCAGGAAATTCAAAAAGTCTACGGTCTATAGTAAACGTATAACACTAAATAACTGTATAATATTCAATGAATGTAATGAGAACTACAATTTAAAGCCTGCATTTTACTTGTAATGTACTGTTAGTGATATTCATCTATTTTACCTACTTTGTAATAGCTGCTATGAAAGGGCTACTAGCTTGCAATCAGAATCAAAGGTGCAATTAAATGCAGATCCATAGCAGCTTTAATGCGAGCTACGGCTTAAGTTCAAATCTCAAGCATCGAGTTTATCGCCTGGCTGCTCACTATGTGGAAGCATATGACACTGTATATTGACCTCTTCGAGTTTATTTTTAAAAAACACTGAAAAACTAGTACGCTCTCAACTATTGAGTATTTCTCTGTATTTGTCTATTGATTTCCTTTGTACTATGATGCTCTATCGATGTGGAGAATGAAAACAAATAATATCTTTCATGTCACAACGTAAAGGTCACACTTCAGTCTATCTTCGTCAAAAGTATCAATGTTTTCAGCTGACTTCTTGTCGAGTTATACTTCAAAGATGAACCTTTGTAAAGGTCTCATGCGAGAACTAAGCATTAGACCATTGTGCTACATTGCTCATATCTCGAGAACAGCAAGATAAAATATCATCATTTTTTAGTACGGTTAGCCTTTTTGATAAAGAACCAAAAGGGCAAACTAGATTTCAAATGTTGAAGTAGAAGAGCACCTAATACAGGCACGGACTACTATCAGACCATCAATTTTCACAAAATAATGCCAGCAATATTTCCCACATTCGTAGTTAAGTTTCAGGCAAAATAAAAAACTCAACATCAAAATTTCTGCTTTCATTTTTGTTGAAAAGTGCTGCCCGAGTTCCTCTTAGGAATACGTCACAAGTGAGTTCAAACAAAACCTCACTTTTGTCAGTTATCTTTTTTTTTTTGAGCTTTCCCTGGGTTGATAATCGTTCGGGATTTATTTTCATCATTAGACTAGCCATTGATTGGCATGCAATTGTAACGTAGCCCTAACTAGGACCCGACTTGAACTTTTCGACGGAAAAAGCAGGGTGTGGGTGTGGATAATATCTTCGAATACATCCACACTGACATCCACACATATCCACATTCATGATGGATCCTGTGAAAATATGCGTGGAGTTTGAAGTGAAAAACAAGAATTCGAGAGGCTAAATACGTACTTTTTACGCCCACAGCCTTTATGCAGAAAAAAAGCTGATTTTTGTATTGTGTAATTTCCGCAGAGATACATGTTTTAAGTCTACCCTAAAAGTTCGTGCTCAATAAATTGAGATCTGGTTGAGCTGTGAGTGTCGCATTGAGAGACACATGGATATAAAAATCATCTGTTTGGCTTATATTTGTATGTCAGCCTTTGAGAACGTAAACTTTCAGGTGAATTCGAGTTGAACAGATTCAAACAGTCTCTATACTGAATACTCCGAACAATGGAATCCAGGACGCTAGCAAAAGAGCGAAAAACTCTATAGTTGCATGATTCAATGAAGTAGACAATACCGTAAGTTGCCAGATAGAGGTATGTTACCGCCTTAAATTTACATACTTAACTGTAACATGGATAACAATCAACTATGAATGAAGACACTTGAAATGTAGACTTGAATGAGCTTTCTTGCTTACCTGTGTACTTTGTCAAGTTGCACTGTCATGCTATGATCGATGCGAGATTCTTTTGTGATTGCTTTATGCCTCTACTTATACTGAAATTTTGCACTGTCATTGACTTTTACACGCAATTATCCTTTCTATGCATTACAAAAGTGGGTCACTTCATTGTAATCTTTTTATTGGCGTTGTTATGGCCATAAAACCATCCACAGGAGCAAAGAATGAAAAGGAACCGATAAAAACATGTTGTTGCAATAAAAAAAACGCATTCGTAAGATACTTTTAATGTTCTTGTCAAACGCGTTTTTTCCGAAAAAAAGCGACACTTCTCTCTGTTGGGAAAGCGCTCAGAAAAAAATCGTTTTTAGACAACAAAAATACGTTCCAAAAGAACGGTAAAAGCGTTGCCAGAATGCGTTACATTTTTTCAAGAACACGTCCATGGACGTTCTTTTTATGATCTTTTTGTCATAGGAGGTACTTAAAACACTGAAATATGCAAAAAACGACATATGTATATCTCTTCATTATCGTATCAAATCGGTTTGAAATATTCATTACAGACACAACTTTTGATGTTCTTTCTACTGGCAAACTCGAAAGTTGAAAATAGCGTAATAATACCTATCCATGAAAAAAGGTTCATAAAAAAGAACGACTATGGATGCGTTCTTGAAAAAATGGAACGCGTGCTGGAAACATTTTTAGCGTTCTTTTGGAACGTGTTTTTGTTGCCTAAAAATGATCTTTTTCTGAACGTATTCTCGGCGGAGGAGAATAAGATTTTTTCTTGCAACAACGCGTTTTTATCCGTTCTTTTTCATCCTTTTTTTTCTATGCAAAAGAAAAGCTGCAGAACTGCGAACACATTAGTTGAGTACGTGTTATTCTCTTGCTGATAGCTGATAGTAGTTTTCATCAGTATGACAATGCAAATAGATTTTCGACGAAAGAATTCAATATTTGATATACGCCGAAGTTCTTGTTTTTATTAGTATCATTCTTTAGCCCTATGATCATATCGGCCCAAAAGAGGCAATTGAGCTTTAGGACCATAGATTCAAATAGTGAACTGAATTAAAATAAAATAAGAGGCAAAAACAATAACAACAACAATAAAGTAAAAAAGAAAAAAAGAGAAAACAGAAGCGTGAAGCAACAAATTTGGTATTAAGAGAGAAAAAGAACAATATAATAATTGGAGTGTGGGATGTAGCTGAGTGTGAGTGTAATTTGAGAGGAACAGTACCCACATGGCACATATCCACAAACTCACACGCATACCCATATCCCACACCCCACACTTCACTCCCACATCCACATTCGCACTCACAGCCTCATCTAGTGGTAAATACAGTAGTGGCAAAAAGTCCCGCACCCCCTAGAAAACTATCTAAACCTCAACCGTTTGGGCTCATATTTTTACTATACATAGAATTCAGTGAATGCTAATCGTAAGCATCAACCCGACCTCGATTAGTTAAAGTATACTGGAGTTAGTAGCTCAACAGCATCATCTCCTTGTGAAGACCATATCTCAATTATTTTTCGATATTCAATTTCACGCGACCCTTCATTCGAAAGCCCAATATCACAGCTATCTGCGGTACAAATTTGATCAAAACTCACTTTGAATTAACGGAGATATGACCTTTGTATTAAAAATGTCTGCCAACACGTAAGTCCTATATTTCATTCTGATGTCAATAACTCCACTTAACCTTGGCCGATTCACTTGAAAATTTCACCCATGAATTCTCATGAGTCTAGCAGCTTGTGATAAAATTTTCAGAATCATAACTCAAACTAGAGTCGAGATAGAGCCATCAAAAGAGCTTATCATCCCACACCTTGTTAATCACTGAGATCTCGATATTATAGGGTGGGCTTTTTACTCAATAAAGTGGACATAGGGAGCTACATTTAGCACTAAAGAAAACGTAAATAAATTGTAATATGACAAAACGGCAAGCAAAAGTTTTAATGATTGAGATATGGTCTTCACAAGGAGATGATGCTGTTGAGCTACTAACTCCAGTATACTTTAACTAATCGAGGTCGGGTTGATGCTTACGATTAGCATTCACTGAATTCTATGTATAGTAAAAATATGAGCCCAAACGGTTGAGGTTTAGATAGTTTTCTAGGGGGTGCGGGACTTTTTGCGACTACTGTATCTGGAGTAAATTTCGATAGATTGTTTGTGATGAGTGAGTGCATTCTCATGGTCACTCTTCGAGTTGAATATGTATCTGAGTGAAGTATGGATAAAAGGAAGCACGATTCAATCGTTTTGGAACGTTATTTCAGGTAGCATCTTAAAGATTTCTTCAGCTTTATTGAATTGATCCATCCTAATCATTTACTGGCATATTTGGTGCCACTCTAAAGACCGATTCCGTTCCATTTGAAAAGATGCGACAATTGTTGACCAATGGAAAAAGAACGTGTCGATCTTCATTTATGACTCGAAACGATTAGAGTGAGTGAGTTTTTGAAGACTGCATGTGATTCGCCGATGTTCGAATCAAACTAAATTAGTGTCAATTTTCACAGTGTACGGACTCGTAATCGTTTCAGAGAGTGACTGTTATTGAACGATATTACAGCCATAATTCATGGCAAGATTGATTTATGTTGAGACTTGCTACGGGCTACGAATGGTACGTTCTTCGTTTTATTCATTACACACGGTCTACTCGTTGGTGGAATTCTGATGGTACAAGAACGGTGTTTATGTACTTCGAATTGGCAAATCTATGTAGACAACGATCGAAACTGCATGAGAATACTATTCAGTTGCCGAAATCAAAGGTGCCACAATATTACTGAGATAAATGGAATTTTTAATCTGTTGTGTCAAAGTAACGAAAGAACGAAAAGAAAATGAATCATGGAATACATGTGCGAGAGGATCAGACGACATATAATCAATATGTAAAAGAATCAAACGTAGAACACATTCTTTCACAATCAACAAGCAAGAATGCATATTATATGTTCTTCTTTCTTTTACATATCGTCGTAATAAATCAAGATCTTCTGAAGTCATAGATCACAAGGGAAGCTTAATTTATGAACCAACTCTCTGTGCGCTCAGATACCGAGTTCTTCTATGCACATTAAATCGAGATTCACATGCCGCTCTCGATGATTACAATGATGCTTTATTACTTCAAATAGATAATTTCTGTGAATGAGTCAAAAATTTCCCATCATGAGTGAAAGGTTGATAGGAAAAGCCTTAAAATAGTCTTTATAATTCAAAAGAGTTCGGAAATCTAACATGAGACGATTGCAGATCACTAAAAATCTGTTGAAACGATGGTCGACTTTGAGGATCACGATGCCAACATTTTTCGATGAAATTCTTGAGCAAAGGCGGAGTTTTCGAACTAATTCTTGGTCGATTACCTAATTTAGCATAATTTACAGCAGCAAATGGTCCTCGACCTAGAAAGTTTTGAAATTGATCTGAATATGGTTCTTCTTCTTGAATAACTTCATTTAACATTACACCAAATGAATATACGTCACTTGAGTAGTCTGGTGGACTTGAACTACTTAAGAGTTCAGGAGCCATATAGCCTGCAGTACCACACACAGCTGCACCATCATCATCGGTTGTAGCGGAAGAGGCAATAGAACTTGATGTTTTTCCACGAAGTGTTGCAAATCCAAAATCTGTCACTTTGGCTGTATAGTCTTTTGAAATTAAAACATTTTGAGGTTTTAAATCACCATGAACAATATTAACAGCATGTAATTGAATCATTCCGAGAACAATTCCAAGAATAAGTTTCTTCTTTATTCTTCCATCTGTTATTTTTGCTTCGATTGGTGGATCTTCACAATAATGAAGTAAATGACTTAAAGAACCTAATTCAACATATTCCATAACGAGACAAAGTGGCTCCAATGTATAACCATATAAATAGACTAAATTTGGATGTTCACCTAAAGTTGACATAATTCTAATTTCTTTCACAAATGAATTCTTTTCTTTTCTGGTCAACTTGTTTAAATGTAATTGTTTTACGGCTACAGTCTGTCCGTTCCATGTACTCTTATATACAATACCGAATGAACCTTGACCTAATTTATTATCTGGATTAATATTCAAATCTTTATAATTAATAACTGGAATTGATTCTGAAACTTCACTACGTATATCATATTCATCATTTTGCCTAGCAGAAGTTCTCATTGGTCGAGAAAAAAATTGACGTTGTCTCTCTTGTGTTTCAGGTAGCATTTCGTCATCATCTTCTATAGCAATACTTCTCATCGGTCGAGAAGAAAATTGACGTTGTCTGTCTTGAGTTTCAGGTAACATTTCATATGGATAATTATCGTCATCATCTTGTGTAGCATAACTTCTCATCGGTTGAGAACAAAGTTGACGTTGAATTTCTTGTGTTTCGGGTAAGATTTCATATTGAGGCATCTCGACATCATCTTCTCTAGCATCTTCTACAAGTCTCCGAAACAGCATGTCTTCTAATTTTTGAAAATAATAAGCTAATCGTTGATCCGGAACATAAGTTGTTAATGGTGTATCCTTCCATTGTAAGTATTGCTGTGTTATAGGTTTTGAAATATCAAGAGAACCATCTTTAGTTTTAGGTATCCAGGAAGGAATATCATTCATTTCGGTTTGAGCTTGCTCTTTTACCCATTCTTTAGCAGCTCTTGTTCTCATATCTGGAATACCAGCTTTTGTAACTGGAATATCTTTTGGTATTCCATGGTCGGAAAATGTGTACCCAGATGTATAACTAGTCATTGCATTTTTAGAAGACGTATATCTCATGTCCAAAGTACCATCTTTCTTATAGTGAAGTCCAGAAGAACTGGTTAGTCGATTTGCATGACTTGTCTGAGCAGAAGATGCAGCAGTTTTTGAAGAGCTAAATCGCATATCCAAAGTACCATCTTTCTTATAATGAAGTCCAGAAGAACTAGGGGGTCGATTTACATGACTTGATTGAGCAGACGGAGCAGCAGTTCTTGAAGAGTTGTATCGCATATCCAGAGTGCCATCTTTCTTATAGTGAAGTCCAGAAGAACTAGGTGGTCGATTTACATGACTTGTCTGAGCAGAAGACGTAGTAGCTTTTGAAGAATTGAATCGCATATCCAAAGAGCCATCTCTTTTATAATGAAGTTGAGAAGAACTAGGAGGTCGATTTGCATTACTTGATTGAGCAGATGGAGCAGCAATTCTAGAAGAGCTGTATCGCATATCCAAAGTACCATCTTTCTTGTAATGAAGCCCAGAAGAACTAGGTGGTCGACTTATATGACTCAAGTGCGCAGATGAAATAGCAGCTCTCGAAGAATTGAATCGCATATCCAAAGAACCATCTCTTTTATGATGAAATCCAGACGAACGACTTGGTCCAAAAGACATTGGTGAATAGCTTGAACCTCCAGAATATCCAACAGAACTCATGCCAAATCCAGATGACATTGCTGCTCTTGATGAACTAAATCGCATATCCAAGGTTCCATCTTTCTTATAATGAAGAGCCATGACAGTTCTCTATTTAGACTGTTATCAACCAAACAAAATAGCGGATAATATAACTTGTAATATGACTTACAGATTTTCTTTTTACAATCTAAAATTTTCAATACATTAAAGCTCTTTTCAGATGAAACGTAATAGGAGAAAAAGAGATCCATTACAGCCAGAGATGACAACAGAAACGGTTGTCCGAGAAGTACACTAGTTTCTCATACGTTGAAGAAGTCATAGCATGAAATTTGGGTGCAGTTTTCCAGATAAATCTAATGAGTACTTGGGAAAGATAGAGTTCTTCTAATCGTATTATCTAAACATCGATCAACTTGTTCCTCAGGAAAAGGAATCGTTTGGTAACCGACTTCAAGCAAGAATCTTAGTCAAAATTAAATCGATCTTGACAATAAAAACTCATGTAAATTGTCAAATATCATCTTAAATAAATGGAATTTACTTAGGGGAGAACTGCTTCAACTGCCTCACAACTTATGACTTCGTATTAACAGTGATACTAGATCTTGATGAGACTAAGAAAATTTCCAAAGGGTTTGAGCCCATGGTCTACTGGTAAAGAGTTATAAGCGTTTTACTAAATTTTTTACTCATAGCCACGTATTTTCGAGGAAAATGAGTTAGAGAATTTCGACCTGAAATTTTGCCTGTAGATTGATCTAATTGTTATTAGAACATCCTGGAAGTTTCAACACAAGTGCATGTGCTGTTCTCGAAATATTGAATTTACAAAAATAGTCACCTGCCAGAGGAAGAACACAAAAGTCAATACCACTTGTAAATTCAATATTTCGAGAACAGGATATTCTAATAGCTATTAGATCTATCTACAGGCAAAATTTCACGTCGAAATTCTTTAATTCGTTTCCCTCGAAAATACTTGGCTATGAGTAAAAAATTAAGTAAAACGGTCATAATTCTTCACCAATAAGTCATGCACAGTTGGGTCAGTTTCGTTGTTAGATAGCTAATCATGTCAACATCTTTTGCAACTAAACGTATTTCAAACCAAATTATAAAATAAATCTTTATCCATCTCATGTTCGACCTGAGGTGCTGTCAATAGAATGTATTTTCAAGAAAAGTGCGCACATCTAAAATTGGATCATCTTGCAAAAATGTCTGTATCTTTCATCAATTGTTGTTTCGTTTGTATGATAAAATTTTGTGTTACAACTGAATTGCAAATGTGTGTTGAAATTTTATTTACGTGCAATATTTCTTTACTGGGTTTTTTCCCACATTTTTGCTTCATGTTCTTGTCGGGCTGCTCATGTTATCGTCGAGAATGTGAAAGAATGAAAGAAAAAAAATTTCAAAGTCATTTTTTTTGAGTCGGAGAGAGTTATTTGCATGAGTCATTGCATATGGTGCCACATTATATGCACAG